TAGGACATTTCATCCCAAAAAGAAACCTCTTATCTATTAATATTCCCGTCTCCTCCACCAGCCCTGGGCAACCTAAAATTTACTTTCTATCTAAAACCTAAAATTGATTTTATTTAATTTAGTTTCTGTCTAGATATGCCTGTTCTGGGCATTTCATGTAAATGGAATCTTGTAGTATGTGGTCTTTTTTGACTAGCTTCTTTCACTTAGAATAATGTTTTCAAAGTTCATCCATGTTGTAACATGTACCAGAATGTCACTTTGTATTGCTGAGTAGTATTTCATTATATGGATATAGTGCATTTTTTGTACACATTTATCAGTTGATATTAAGGTTTTTTTTCTACCTTTTGACTATTAAGAGTAATGCTGCTATGAATATTTGTGTGTAATTTTTCTTCATGTGGGCATATATTTTCATTTCTCTTGAGTATGTACCAAGGAGTAGAACTTCTGACCCATGTGATAAGTACATGTTTAACTTTTTGAAGAACTGTCAAATTGTTTTCTAGAGTAACTATGCCATTTCACATTTCCACCAGCAATGTACAAGGACTCAAATTTCTCTACATCCTCCCCAATGATTGTTTTTATCTCTTTTGATAATAGCCATCCTACTAGATGGAAAGTGACATCTCATTAAGCCTTTGATTTGCATTTCCCTTATGGCTAATAATGTTCAGCATCTTTTCATGTAATCATAATCTATTTATATATCTTCTTTGGAGAAATGTCTATTCAAATTATTTGCCCATTTTTATAATTGGATTTTAAAATTATTGAATTGTTAAAAAAATTTCATGTATCTTAGATACAAGTACCTTATCAGATATATGATTTGCCAAAGTTTTCTCCCATTCTATGGGTTGCCCTTTTACTTTTTGATAGTGTCCTCTGAAGCACAAAATTTTAACATTTTGATGCTTCAATTTATCTGTTTTTTATTGTTGCTTGTGATTTTGGTGGTGTCTCTAAGAAACAATTTCCTTTCCCAAAGCCATGAAGTTTTATAGTTTTAGCTATTAAATATAAGAATATGATTCATTTTGAAATAATTTTTATATATGGCATGATGTAACTTTATTCTTTTGCATGTGGTTGTCTGGTTGGCCCAGAACCATTTGTTGAAAATACTCTTCTATTCTTGTTGAACTTTCTGGATATCTTTGTTGAAAATAAATTGACCATCCCTATAAGGATTTATTTCTGGACTCTCAATTCTACTCTATTGGTTTATATATCTATTCTTATACCTGTACCATGCTATCTTGATTACTATGGTTTTATGGTAAGTTTTAAAATATGGAAATATGAGTTCTTCAACTTCATTATATTTTTTCTAACTTGTTTTGGTTATTTTGAATGCTTTTCCATATGAATTTTATAATCAGCTTGTCAATTTCTTTTTTTTTTTTAAAAAAAAAGCAGCTGGAATTTTGATAGAGATTACATTAAATCTGTAGATCAACTTGAGAGGTATTGCCATGGTATCAATATTAAGTCTTCTACTTTATAGAAAATGGACATCTTTTCATTTATTTAGATCTTTAATTTATTATAACAATATAAATTTCATAGTTTTTATTATGAATTACATGGACTGTTCAGTTAATTTAATATTCACATTACTCTTTGCTATTGTTTTGCTTTTGCATTGTTCATTGCTGCCATACAATTGGTTTGTGTATACTGATCTTTTATCCGGTAATCTTGACAAACTTCTTAATTAGTTCTAATAGTCGTGTGTGTGTGTGTGTGTGTGTGTGTGTGTGTGTGTGTATCTTAGGATTTTCTGTGTATAAGATCATGTCACTCTTTCTAGAAACTTGGCTTTGATATTAAAAATACATTAATACAAAACTAAAGAATTAGAATAAGATTTTATTAAAAATATTGACTTACTCAAGAAAAATATTATGTCATCTGTGAAAAGAGATACTTTTACTTCTTCTTTTCCAGTATATAAATTTCTTTTAAATTTCTTTTTTCTTATTTCATTCCCCTGTTTAGAATCTCCAGTAAAATGTTGAATAGGAGTGGGGAGACAAACATGCTTGTCTTATTCCTGATCTCAGGGAAAAAGCATTCAGTGTTTCTCCATTACATGTGATGTTAGCTGTGGGATATTTGTAGACGATTTTTATTTGATTGAGAAAGTTCTCTTTCATTAGTTTGATTAGTGATTTTATCATAAAAAGGTGTTAGATTTTGTGAAATACTTTTTTAGCATCTACTGAGATAATCATGTGGCACGTACCTTTATTATATTAATATGATATATTACATCAATTGATTTTTGGATATTAAATCAACTTTGTACTCCTGGGATAAATCCCATTTGTATATAATCCTTTTTATATGTTGCTGGCTCTGTTTGCTGGTATTTTGTTGAGATATTTTTGTGTCTATATTTATGAGGGATTTTTGGTCTGTATTTTTCTTGTAATATTTTTGTCTGGTTTTGTTGACAGTAATGGTGGCCTTGTAGAATGAGTTTGGAAGGGTTCCCTCCTCTTCTATTTTTTGGAAGAGTTTGTAGAGGATTGTTATTAAATGTTTACATATTATTTTGATTTTTTTATGGCTTCCTTGGTAGTTTACCCTTTGCTTTTATTAAACTGCAGGTAGGACTTGTAAATAGGGACAGAAAGGTGGTGTTTATGTTGATTGGTCCCTTTAGAATAATTTTACTATGGTGAAAGTACAGGATTTTAAATAAAACTGAGTCTTCATTTTCCCTCCTTCTATAAAACAATGATAGATGCTCCACCACTGGAAGACATGCTTAGTTGCAAAAACAAATTCAAAGGTTTTCATAAATTAAGATTAAAAGATGCCTGTTGGTACCATCTCCTCAGTTGAGCCAGGATGCATGCCATCTCACTGTTCCCACTTCAAGAAATCTTACCTGTAGCCTACAAGTACAAATCTGCCTAAAACATTACTTAAAAGAGCCTGCTAAGAAGTGTTATACTGACCTTCTCTTGAGTAAGAGTCTGAGAACAAGGAGAGTTTGTTGAATCCCAGACATCACGTAAGGTAATATGAATAATAAATATTTAGATTGTCTTCCTACGTGTTGCCAGGTAATTTTTGGTCATTAATCACTCCGCTAACTCAGTGGGAAAAATTAGTACGGACGAAGTAATAACAACTAATGTTTACTAAGTAATTACTATGTGCCAAACACTGTCTAAATCCTTTATGTATATGATCTCTTTTATTTATCATAGCAATATTATGAGGTCAATGCTAACATTATTCTCCACTTTACAAATCAGGGAATTTAGAAACAAAGAGGTAATCTTAGTTGCAAAGAATGCAGGAGCTGGAATTTGACCTACATTATGTGACCCCAGAACCTGAACCAGAATTTAGAGTAGATTCTGTTCATCCCAGGGATTCAGATTCAGGGTCTCTGTATTTCAAATTCCAGATTTGGAATATAAGTCTTTGTACTCTCTTTTGATGAATAATAAAATTTGCAGTCCACTTTTTAGAAATGTTGATAGAGGGTATACTCAGCTGGTACTAATCACTGGAGATTAGACAATCTCTGTAGGGATAATTGAATAGGCAAGTTAATAAGATAAATATTTACAATGCATTGAGTGATTATTGTGTTTTAGGGTAAGTGATTTACTGGTATAAATTAATTATTTCTGCAAAATTAACTCTATGAAATGGTCTTATTATCACTTACATTTATAGATGATTCTCCTGAAAGAAAGATGTGGGTAACTTGCCCTAGGCCAGTTAGCAATAAGTCCAGATTTGAACCCAAGCAGTCTTGCTCCAGACCTGTTTTTAACCATTCTACATTGCAGTTTCTCTAAGTAAATAGTCACCTGAAATATGGTTACAACCATTCAGTCACACCAAGAATGCAGTTAGAGATTAAGACTGCATCATTGTGTTTGTGCATGTGGAGACTAGAGTTGCTTCTGTAGGAGATAAACACCAAGATATTATCTGAAGGAGAGAAATGTGTTGTGAGTGAAAGGGGGAGGGGGGTTGTTCTGTAAATATGTGACCTGAAGCAAATATAGAAATATGAAAAGAAAAAAATAATTTTCAAAAGGGAAGTTCTTAGCCTATGCTTTAATAGAAGATAGGAATGGACTGTGGCATACATTTGGAAGTTGTGGCAGTTTGGTCCTGAGAGCACAGTGGGGCAGGACCGTTTGGAGCCATATCTCAGGGGTAAAAAGGAACAGTTTGAAAGAACAATTTTAGAAAATGACTTTGATAAACTTCCCTAGTAGACACAGAGGTTGAATCAACAGTAGATTAATATTAGATAAGTGCTTCTAGTAATGTAAGAAGCATCTAGAAATTAGCAGGAAAAAATCTGCTGTTGGGATAGTATTTCTCCTTTAGTGCCAAAATTATAATAGTTTTTTTTTCTCTTATGCCAGTAAAATCAAGGGGCTGTGTTTATTCAGCAACTTTTCTTCATGAGAATATGAATATATTCCCAGACATTGCACTTTTCCTGCGTGGTGTTCTGCCATCAATGTGGAGTTATATATTTAGAACTCTGTGTTTGGGTAGGAAGAGATTAGGCCCACTGGTGGGCAGTGACCACAGAGCTAAATGTATCTGGGTCAGTTTTATTCCAGACATGTGGATCTTCTAGTTTGCAGCCTTGACAAACTCCAGAGTTCCCTTGTCTCATTGTACCTTCTGATCATGATGGCACTGTTAATGTCCTTCAGAGTTGGTGGCAATTTGCAACTTTGAAGGATCATCCAAATTATCAAATAATTTACATATGTTTTCAATGAGATGATTATTAAATTGAAGTTTCTAATTTATTCTTAACAAAAAATAAAAATTACATTCACATCAAAAGCAAATAAATTAATACTACCACGTTTCCTGATTCCCATATACAAAGAAAGGTGAGTGGAAATCAAATGTCAATATACAGGTGCTTTTTAAAAACTCTTTTGATCTATTTCCACTTTCAAGGCAACCTGGTGGCTTTTTCTCTCAAGTCCTCACACAGGTATTCAGGAATACCAGGACGGTGTGCCCAAGATTCCAACAGCCTGTATTACGGTGGAAGATGCAGAAATGATGTCAAGAATGGCTGCTAATGGGATCAAAATTGTCATTCAGCTAAAGATGGCGGCAAAGACCTACCCAGATACTGATTCCTTCAACACTGTAGCAGAGATCACTGGGAGCAAATATCCAGAACAGGTAAGTGAAGGAGATGGCTGGCCTGTCTAAGAATACAGTTTTCTGGTCTAGTTTGCGTTATTAGAGATAGTTTGGGAAACCGAGACCATGAAAGACCATACAGAGATGGTCCTCATAGACTCATAGAAGGCAGAAGCTCTATGTATATTTTTGCTCATCAAAATTTTACCATGTATACCATCTTACACCAGTCAGAATGGCTATTACTGAAAAGTCAAAGAATAATAGATGTTGGTGAGGTTGTGGAGAAAAAGGAACACTTATATGCTGTTGGAGGGACTGTAAATTAGTTCAACCCCTGTGGAAAGCAGTTTGAAGATTTCTCAAAGAACTGAAAATAGAATTAGCATTTGACCCAGCCATCTCATTACTGTGTATGTACCCAAAGGAAAGTACATTGTTCTACCAAAATGATACCTGAACTCACATGTTTATTGCAGCATTATTCACAATAGTAAAGACATGGAATCAACCTAGGTGCCTATAAATGGTGGGCTAGATAAAGAAAATGTGGTACATATATACCATGAAATACTACACAGCCATAGAAATGAATGAAATCATGTCCTTTGCAGCAACATCGGTGCAACTGAAGGTCATTATCCTAAGTGAATTAACACAGAAACAAAAACAAAAAGCATGTTCTCACTTACAAGTGGGAGCTAATCATTGGGTACATGTGTGCGTAAAGATTGGAAGACTAGGCAATGGGGACTACAAAATGGGGGAGGGAGAGAGGGAAGCAAGGTTTAACAAAACTACCTATTGGGTACTACGTTCTCTATTTGGGTGACGGGTTCAACTGAAGCCCAAACCTTAGCCTCACACAATACATTCATATACCCTCTGAATCTAAAGGTAAAAAAATAAAAATTTTACCACATTGACTGAAGAAGAGCAGGACTAATTAAAGGGCAGAATGGGATTCATGGTGTGGAAATTGAACCTCGGAACAGTTGAAAGTGTTATTTGTCCATATGTGTTGCATTTATTCCATTTGAAGTCAGCCTGGCATTTGAGATAAACCAATAATTAATACTTACTATGTTTATTGTGTCAATTATCTATTTAATCCTTTCAAAGCTCAGTGAATTATGATGTATTTTCTGTATTAGTCTATTCTTGCATTGCTGTAAAGAAATACCCAAGACTGAGTAATTTATAAGAAAAGAGGTTTAATTGGCTCACAGTTCTGCAGGCTGTACAGGAAGCATGGCGACATCTGCTTCTGGGAAGGCTTCAGGGAGCTTTCAATCATGGCAGAAGGCAAAGGGGGAGTAAGGTGTCTTACATGGTAGGAGCAGGAGCAAAGGGGAGGGGAGGTGCCACATACTTTTAAACAGCCAGATTTCATGAGAACTCACTAACACTAGAAGAGCACCAAGGGGGTGGTGCTAAATCATTCATGAGAAACAGCCTATTTGATCCAATCACCTCTCACCAGGCCTTACCTCCAACATTGGGGATTGCAATTCCACATGAGATTTGGGCAGGGATGCAGATCTAAATCACATCAATTTTCTTCATTTCATACGTGAGGAAACAAACCTAGAGGGAAGCTCATCTACCCAAGGGCTACACAGCTAGTAGGTCACTAAGAAGGAATTCAAACCCAGCACCTTGTGCATATTTAACCAAGCATTAAACCACAGTTTATGTGCAGTTTCCAGAGCTTAGGAATTTATCTGCAAATAAAGGGATGGTATGCAAGTAATTAACAGAATTATTGTCAGGACGAGATTAGGTAAGGCACATCAAATAGCTTTGTCGAGTGTTTGGCATGTCACAGCTCACTGAATGTAAGTTTACTTTGTATGGCATCAAGTGTGCAATAAACACTTTTTATAAGGTTTCTGGTACAAATATCATATATTAATTATTGACATTCTAAACATGGAACTTAAAATGCTATTCAGAAATTTCAAAATTTTGTATTTTGTTTGATGGCATCAGTGAGATGAAGGAAAGAGTGAATAGTGATGGTGTTCCGTGATGGAGAAACAAGTCTTCTGCACATGACTTCTCCCAGAATCAGGACTGAGAGACTCAGGACTCAGGATTTCTCCCAGACTTAAGGGCTGTACTGCAGTGAAGATTCATTTTAAACTCAGGACTCTTTTCCCTCTTCCCAAGCCACCTGCTTCAAGGACGTGAGCATCAGCCACGGCTTGTGCCACAGGGGTGATGGAAAACAACTCAGTAGAATTATAGGGAGTCAGACAGCTGTAGAGAAACTGTGGTTTCAAACAGACAAGCCCAGCTCCTTGTCCTTTTAGGAAACTGATAACAGAAGAGCCAAGAGTCTGTATTTAAGATGCTAAATAGTCAGATGCCTTAAAATGCAATCTTTACCAGGCATTTTCCCCAGTCATTAGTTCCAGGATAAAGTTTTGTCATCACCAGGGCTTGAAGGGTTTAGGATTATAATACTATTACTGTCTGGATGAGCAGGCTGATTCTGGCCTGAGGTTTTGGGCAGTTGGGTGGCAGGGTGAGAGGGAGGTATTGGGATCCTTAGTCTATAGCAGCTAGGGAGTCTCAGAATCTGAAGCCAAAGCATATCGGCTGAGGTGTTACTGAGAAGCAGAGGGCTGAGATAGTGCTGGCTCTGACAGCTTCCTGAGGGTCACTAACATCTTCTGGCTGGGAGAGCTTGGGCCTATTTGTCAGTTCAGCCTAACTCATTCTTTTTATTTTTTAAAATTGGCTGAATTCAAGTATAACTTATATAAAATAAATCAACCAATCTAATGTACAGTTGGATAAGTTTGGAAAATGTATGATGAAACCACTATCACAATTATAATACATAATATTTCCACCACCCCAAAGTTTCCCTTGAGCTCCTTTGTAGTCCATCTCCAGCTCTACCACCCTGCCCCTGGCAGCCAGTAATCTCCTTTGTAGAGCTATAGTTTGTTGCTGGTTTGTTGTTTTTTTTTTTAATTTCATATATAAGTGAAATAATATAATTTGTAGTCATTTTCTGTCAGGCTTATTTTACTTAGCATAATGCTTTTGAGATTCGTCCATGTTGTTGATTTAGTTGTTTCTTCCTTTATATCCCCGAGTAATATTTCATTGTATGGATATACGACCTTTTATCCATTCAGCAATTAATGGACATGTGGGTGGTTTCTAGTTTTTGATTATTGTGTATAAAGCTTTTGTGAACATTCTTATACTAGTCTTTCAGCGGACTTAATGTTTTCATTTCTTTTGAGTAAATATCTTAGAATGGAATTGCTGGGCTGGCCTGAATTTAAGTACCCTTCTCTCTGCCAAGATGCTTCGCTCTGTCTTTTTTGGGGAGTAGCACCTTCTCCCAGAAGGTAGATGGACAATTTCAGAGCAGTGATAAGATTTAGGATTAAACTTTCGCTTCTGCCATAATGTTGTCTAGAATTCTAGGAGTTTGTTCATAAATACTTTGTTACCAAGATATTTTAAAAGGTAGAAGATTAACAAAAGTTTTTCCACAAAGAAGTAACAGCATTACTTCCACAGAAAAAAAAGTGAAAATGAGCACAGTAGAGTCAAGTCTGTGGTTGTGTTTTGTGGAAGGAATCTACATTATAGCTGGCCTGGAACCACAGGGGACATACCGACTGTGAAGGCAAGCAAGCAAGAAGCATGTAGTCCCTCTGCAGGTGTTAGGTTGATTAATGGGCTTGAAAAAGAACTGTCTTATTCCCAATAAATGTCACTTCTTCCATGAAGACTGCTTTGGTAACACTCCCCTCATCCCAACACTTCATGCCACTGTTTTGGTGTCATCTCCCACCATAACTTGCAAATGCTCTGAGAGTAGGGGCTCCGTTCCCTCTATTTTCTTTCTTTTCCTTTTTCCCGCCTCTAATGGCTATTTCAGGACTTGGCATGCAGTGGCTTCTCAACACATATTTTATTTTGGTAAAATGAAGGAGTAAGTAAAGAAAAAAATGGTTGGAGGATTTTGCTAACCTTGATCTTCTTTAAATCTAGAAGTTTGGCTGGGCATGGTGGCCCATGCCCATAATCCCAGTACTTTGGGAGGCCAAGGTGGGCAGATCACCTGAGGTTGGGAATTTGAGACCAGCCTGACCAACAAAGAAAAACCCTCTGTCTACGAAAAATACAAAATTATGTAGGCATGATGGCACATACCTGTAATCCCAGCTACCTGGGAGGCTGAGGCAGGAGACTCACTTGGACCCGGTAGGCAGAGGTTGCAGTGAGCTGGGATTGCGCCATTGCACTCCAGCCTGGGCAACAAGAGTGAAACTCCATCTCAAAAAAAAAAAAAAAAAAAAAAGAAAAAAAAAAGAAATATAGAAAGTTTTCTACTGCCCTTTTAGAATACCAGTTGTTACTGGCACATTGAACCTTACCCCTGAATGTGGCTCAACATTTCCAAATTTGAACACATTGTCTCCCTCATACCTGATTTTTTTGGTCTTAGTTTCTTGTTTCTATTAAATGAACCATATTTATCTATCAGCACAGCTACAAAACTTCAAGTTATTTTTCATTCTCTCTCCTGTATCACTATCCTACAGTCAGATATCACATCCTATTCAGTCTATTTTCAGCATATTTTAAAAAAAATCTGTTCCTACCTTGCCTTTACTGCTATTAGTGCCTTAATCCAGGCCATCAATATTTCCCCCTTGATTTTTTTTTCATCTGGTCTTTTCCATACTCCTTTTGTTCTTTGCCATGCAGCTCCAAGTTATTTGAAAACATTTGATCTCAACATGGTGATTCCCTGCTTTCAGGGAATCACCTGCTTTCCTTGCTATCATAAGTGGAAATCACCTGCTTTCCTCTCTCCTATTTCCTGTAAGATAAAGGTTGTGATGAAGATAAATGCTGGGGTGAGTGGATCAGAGGTGAGCAGAAGACAGAGGAAAAAAGACAAAGAGGGAGGGGAGTCAGGGTTAGATAGGAGGCAGTTATAGTAAGAGGAAATTGTATGGTACGTTTCATAAATGGACAGAAAATCAGCATGAAGAAAGGGG